GCAACTTGGCTAAATGACTGCATAACTGCACATTTAATAGTTTTCATTGTAAGACACTTAAAACCATTAAAGCAAACTTGCAAAATTCCATGAAAGCTTAACTAGAAATATTAGTGAATATTTCTCAATGAAATAAACTCGAACAATTTTAAATTTCAGCATAGTAAAGTGAATGTACATACTCGAATGTGTTCTATAATTGCTTAGATACGGTCAAGTCATTCACTTCAATTGACACTTTAATGTAAGACCCAACAAAATGACTGCTCAAATGTAGAATAACATTATTTTAGTAATCATAAAATCGTCAATTTCACATTTATAATTTTTTTTTTACAACAAATTTAAATACATTTAGTACTTAAATACAGAGGATTTAGAACTATATACAAAAATTCTTTAATAATTATAGCACAATTCAGCATGCTTCTCTTATAATTATTTTAAGTCCTAGTAGATATAAGATGTTCTATCAATTAACTCATTTTAACATTTAACTTGTTAATTGTATAATAACTAGATACACTTCTCTTAGTAATATTATATATCCACTGCTGAAAATAACTTAAGCTACTTATGTTAATGAAATTATGATTTGGTCGTTCCCATTGACATAAGCTGATTTATGCATGTCAAATAACGTGTTAGTTTACATTTTATATATTATTATGTTGAGACTTTACCGAGTTAGTGCATCTGAACACTTTTACTCTTTGATGGCTGGGGGGTTTTCGCAGAATTCCACCAATCTCACTGACTGATTTGTAAATTCCTCATAAGCTTCATAATTATTCAATGACTAATCTAAGATAAAATATATGATAAATATAACAAATTTTCGCAAATTTTCTTGCGGTTGCATTCAACATTTTTCGAGTTAAATTAGTTGATTTATTTATAATTTGCTCATTTATAGGAATGAGTTTCTACTTGCCTAAATAAGACAAGTAGAAACATGATATTAAATAGAAAAAGTATTTAAGATAATTGATCTGCATATATATGCAAGAATTGATTAACACAAACAGGAAATGTAAGGCCGAGACATTACAAAGCAAATTGCACACATATCCTTATTACGCATTAGGCTAAAAAATAATTTAACAAACAAATATATTTCTATGTAATCTATATAATAACACGTAAAATATCACTAGTATCTTTTACTAAATGACTAGTTATGAAGTCTCTAATTAACTAAGAGACTATAACATTCAAGAACACCTAAGCTATAAGTCATCTATAATGAAAACTTTTTTGAAATTTTATTGAAAGTCTTAGTCGTCTGTCAACGTAGTTCTAATATTTTATGTTACACTGTTCGTTAATTGAATTAAAATAATGTGTAAACACTTATTCAATTATTTATTTTTAGAGATCCGTTAATTGCCTGGTGTAAATATAATATTATTGCATTTATTTTTTTACTGGTGTAAATGATGTGCACTGAAACAAAAAATGCAATTGTAAACGATCACATATAGTATTGTAAATGGTATATATATTGTAGTTACTGATTATACAATCAATAATTTCATAACGGTTTCTTTTTCATATGTGTTTGCAACGACAGAGCACGCAACAAGCGATACATGGTCAATTGCCTTAGAATGTTGCAGCAAGTTTGTCCGGTGTTGTGCAAGAAGTAGAAATGTTGCTAGCGCTTAGCAAAAATTTTAATTTTTAATTGAATTTCTGAAGCTGTTTAAACTACTGATTTGATAAATAATTTTTTATTTTTTTTTTTTAATTCAATTATTTATTATTTTATTTGAATTCTTATTGTGGAATGTTTTATGTAAGAACTTATATGCACAGCCCTCGAAAGAATGCAGCTAACCTTCTAAACTGAATCACTTGTCAGTTGTACTTGAATTATAAATCAAATAAACTAATTTATTTTGTTAATCGTTAATAAAATTCAGTATCTTTTATTAATGAGATTGTAATGAAATTTAATAATTTGTACTTTGCTAAAGAATGCCAGAGAAGAAATAATGGCAGAGACGAAATATTTACATATCTCTAAATCAATTCCATTCATTTATCGACCATAACAGCAGGGATTACAACTAAGTTACAATTAAATTAATTATGTTCAAAATTTAAGTATATATATTTTATTAAAATAAAAACAGAGATATAGACAATAGTGAGATAACATAAGTACAAAAAAATATATTGTACAAAAGGTGTTTTTTTTGTTAAAGATTGTGCAATAAAACAGCAAGTCTCTTGCTAAAGTCTCTAAAATAAAACGTGAAATAACACCGTTTGTCTCTTGTGCAAAGCACTAATTAAAAAGTCTTTAATCAACTAAATGGCTACCTAAATTAAAGGAATTAATGGTGATTAACAGTAAATAGTCGTTAGAGATGTTTTCGAAATGTCCCGTCATCTTTTAGAGCTATATTTAAACAATTATTATATCAAACTATACTTTATAATTTGTTGCAAACTCTTTTTTGTTGAATTATTTTTGAAAATAATGTTAGTATATACTGTAGTAAGTACCGATGGTAATAAATGTATATATATACATACATTATATACATACATTTAATGAATTACTGTAATAAATAAGTATACATTTTAATTAGGTTACATATCTATATATATATATATATGTGCGCCAATATAAATAGGTCGTATATCCGATTTTATGATTGTGTTTTTGGAATAATATTCAAGATACTTAAGCAAATTGAAGTGTGTCTTTATTTCATAAAGTTTTATATGACTACAAGTTTGTTTATTAAATTATTTTAATTTTCCCTCTTAATTAGTAATCCCTGCAAAATAACTGTATTGTCTTTAAAAATGTCTTTATATCAATAACCTTAGTTCTCTGATATATAAAAATAAAAATCGTCCAACTGTATTTTGCAATATCTTACATCAACTACATAATTATCATATTGTTCGGTATTGTTGTTGTCTAATTAACTTAAACCACATGTATTGTTTTGAATTAAAAAGTAAATATTGGTTGCAACATACTGAAGAAGTAACTTGAATGACAATTTTCTGTCTGCATCCAATTTGCTTTGGAATTGCATTGGCAAATTATGTTGCAAGCTCAGACCCTATATAACCAAAGCCAATGGGAGTAACGTCACCGACGGCATGTCAACCGCATAGTTAAGTAGTTATATAAATGCTGATTTCCTACAACTATTCAAGTGTATTAAGTAATTTATGAGAAAATCACATAAAGATAAAATATAATTTTGTTTGAAACTAATATACGAACACATATATTTTCAAATAGTCGTCTGTTTAGCTTGCAAACGAAAGCCGCAACTACAGATAAATGATACTTTCTACCCTAAAAGATATATATAAGAAAAATAAAACATATCCATATTGAGTTAATTTGATTATTGAGGATATTTAAAATGTTAACAATCTCTGCAGTTAATAAAATATGACTAATATTAATAAAAATATAATTTAAAAGATATTTACACGCATATTACACAACATTTACACGCAACACCCAACATTCGACACCCAAACGCATTTTTTTGATACCCAAAGACCGCAGAGAAGTTGTGGAGTTGCTTAAGACGATATACAAAAATTAAAACCAAAAGAAATTGAGCTCATTGGAAGGCAAAAACAATTTAAACTAATCCACTTTTAATTATGTGTATTACACCTCATATAGGCCACAAAAAGCAGTGAGACAGATATTCAGGCATATCACCAATGCTCATAAATATCTTGAAATTGTCATTTTTCAAATGAGGAAGCATTTTTATGCAATGGAGCTCCATTGAAAACGCAGGAAAATAAAAGTAAAATTAAAAATAATTTTTAAAAAATGATTAGATTTCTTAACCTGAAATTATGTGTTACCACATACGAGTAGATGAACATAGTACAGTTAAATTTTGTTATTTAATAGTTAATTTGTGTTATAATTTTTTTTAATGATTATTTAATAATATCATCGTTGGTAGAGAGGTTTCGAAAACTATTGAACTTCAACAACAAAAATTATTTTTATATTATTTTTAATTAATTGAAAATCATTTTGGTATTACAGTTTGAGTGGATCTATTGCATCCTACACAATTGTTTCCATTCCTGCCTGTTTTCCTCTTACAATTTATTTTTAATTATAATAAAATTTTTTGAATTTATTTATTGACCTTTTTTTTATAATGGTTATATAAAAACCATTATATTCTTTTTTTTTAAACAATTCAACGTTAAACAATTCAACGTTCGTTTAATATTTTTTATTATATTCTACATTTCGACACTCCTTAAGAATCATCATCAGCATCAAATCTAACTTAAATTAATATTACTAAAACTATATCTACGTCATCCTCTTTATTCTATTGTCTATATATTATATTTTTGTCATTCAAATTTCTTTTTTTAAATATTTCATTCCCTTCGGTTTCATGGTCGACTTTTTTATCTGGAACCTTACAGTTTTACAACAAAAATCGTCCTTGTTATGCTTTTACCGCCTATTGTCAGCACCGCATTACCATTCTTTTTGTACTTTGTTGAATCTTTTAATTCTATTATTTTTTCATCTAGCAGTGTTTAATCATTCTATCTTATCTTTAATCTATCTTTAATCTATTTCCCTTTTAACTACATTCTTTTTCATAATCTTTTAGGCGGGTATATATCTGTTGTTTAATTTTCTTGGCTTATAAATCTGGATTTTATGAGTTATGTACGATCTATTTTCTGTCTGTATGTGTTCATGTATTATTAAACAATATAATAATAATAATAATTAAATAATTTTTTATTAAAAATTTTTATTATAAAAGCAAAATAACAAAAAAATTAAAGCAGAAGATAAGAATTAAGAGTCTCATGAGTTCCAAAAAATCTTTAAGTTATAAATATATTATATGAAGTGTAGAAATTAATTTAAAAAAGAACTATCTTAGATAACCCAACCTTAACTTTTGATTACAATTTATTATTAATTTATTTTTAATATATATCTTTTCTTTTAATTGCAGAACAATCATGTAGTTTTCCTGGATCCCCAGCGCATAGTACAGTCGTCTTCTCAAATGCAAATCTAACGCAGAGTACGGTTGCTTCCTACTCATGTGAACGCGGTTTCGAACTGCTTGGTCCAGCGAGACGAGTATGTGATAAGGGCAATTGGGTTCCAGAAGGCATACCATTTTGTGGTAAGTACATTCAAATTTTATTTTGTAGACTTATATTAAAATATTAAAAGACATGCCTAAGGAAGAAAAAAGTAATGTTTAAAATTAAAAACTAGTATAATTTATTAAACATTTTCAATTATTTTGTTTGTACTCGTTCGTATATATATAAAAATATTATAAATATTTTTTATATCGAAAAATAAAACTAAAGGTAAACAAAAGTTCAATTCCTTTTATTTATTAATGGGTTATCAGGCCATGATGGTGGTCAGATAAGTATATGTATGTATATATGTTTAATATATGTATTTATATATATGTTTAATTTTCACTGGATTTAGGTATGTACATATATATATATATGTTTAATTTTCACCGGGTTTTACACAAAAATAATAAAAAAAATAACACTTACAATAAGCGACCTAAGCCCCATGAACATTTTTACTTAATAATTTTTAAATTAAATATTTTTCACTTCTTACATATTTTTTTTATTAAATCAAAAGAAGATATGAGTATCATATTAATAAAATTTTTATTTAAATATAAATGAATATTGCAATTATTTAACTATAAATAAAATTTATTTACAAAACAATATAATTTCAGGTTTTAGACACTTAAATTGTCCAAGATTTGAAGTCTTAGCTAAAGAAATATTAACAAAATCGTAAATCAACATTGATCTCAACTTACGAAATGATTTTAATTTTATAGTTTTTATTAAATTGCAGTGCTTTCCGGCCAATTTTTGGTCTAACCTAAAACAACCAAATTAAAAAATTCTTTTTACACTAAAATTAATTTCAAAACACCAAAAAAGTTACACAAATATATATGTATATAAGTGAATTTTTATAAAAACATAAATATATGTAAAGAAAAATATCTCAACTTACATTACAATAAACTAAAATTACAAATAAACACGCATTTTAGACAGCTTAAAACGCATAACATATTTAGTTTGAAATACTAAAACAACTTAATTATTGGGCATCCGCAACGATTTATTTACACGCTACTTGCAACTGTTAACATTTTTAATTTGCTAATTTCATACTTCATTTATTTCAAAAAAACAATTATTGGTTAATATTATTATTGATTTCCATAAAACAAAAATTGCGTGGATTATTTCTACATATAAAAATATATGGAACCTCATAAGAGTTAAGTTTTAAATATATTTTTCTTTCACTTCAACAGAACTTAGCTCCGATAAGTATTATAATATATAGAACAATAATATAATAGTTTAATATAAAATATAATATAAATTTATAATAAATATACTGATATTAGCAAGTCCTATGAATGAGGAATCGTTCCAGCATTGAGATGTGAACACTGAGTTATAAAGATATAAAATGAAATCATTAAAAATAAGTGAATAGTTATTTACTTTTATATATTATATGATAACATAGTGATATATTAAAGGAATTAAATTTTTGTTTATTTTTAGTTTTAATTTTTGATATAAAAAATATTTATAAAATATTTATAATATTCTACTATAAATACAAAATATTATATTTATTAACATTTATAAAAAATCAGATATGGTTAAAACCTTTAAATATTGTCAGAATATAAAAAAGTATTTCAAAAAGTAAATTCAACTTATCACTTAGTTCTTGAAATATTGCCCAATTGTAAAAAAAGTAATTTAGAATATGCAACCGACTTATCGCTTGTAATATAGCATCTAATAATATAGTGAATAAAAAAGATCTTTTAGTTATTGAATATTTCACCGGCTAAATTTAGAAGTCAATTTAATATAACATGTAATAATATATTGAATGTGAGATCTTTTAGATACTGAATATTTCTCATACTAAATTTAAAAATTGATATAACATAAGAACTAATAATATATTGAACAAATAAAATCATTTAGTTATTATATTTATACTGGCTACATTTAGGAATTCATATAAAAATCTAATAATATGTATATTAAAAAATTAATATTATTTAGCTGTTAAATATATATCACTATCTTTAAAAATCCTTATAATATAACATCAAGAAAGGACACCAGAACACCTGTTGTGTCGATGTCTAGACTTGATCAAAACTAGTCTCGAGTTCTTGACAGCCCCCTTCTTTAACACACTCAGTGATATTTCCCACATTTGCATTGATCATGCTCTAGCGTTTATAAGTGCTTCTGTTTGGTTGTAGCTTGACCTACTTCTGCTCATTATTATGACGATTTGTGTATTTAAAACGGCCTGCTTAACTAATTGAGGAGAATTCATTTTTTCCTTCATTTGAACTAACTAACTAATACTACCTAGTAATATATTGAGTAATTAAGATCTTTTAGCTATTGTATATTTCACTGGCTAACTTTAAAAATCGATATAATATAACATCTAGTATTAGTAGTAGTATTATAGTTTTATTTTACTTTATTTTAAATTTGTTGTATTACATAGAAATTTATAACAGTTATATTATATATATAAAGCTTACAGATATGGCATTTTAGCCGTCTGCTGGATATCTAGTATTATATTGAATAATTAATATCTTTTAACTATTGAATATTAAATACATGTTATCATCTACAAAAACCATCTGAATGTCGTGTTTCTGCTCCACTATCTCTCTATCTCTAGCCACTCTCCATTTTCTCTCCACAGAGAGTGTTAGATATCTCTCTAGTACATTATTATATTCACTATAACCTCAATTGTACCTATATAACCTCACTCTAAACTTTTAATATATAATTGAAATTCGTTCTGAGTTTCTAACATTAATCTTATCCATTAAACAATTTAAATAAAAATCAAAGAACTTAAACTTTTCACCGCAATTGTTATTAGAAAATAATTTATTTTATTTAAATTAAAAAAAAATAAACAAAAAAAAGATTATTTTCTTTGTACTTCATTGCAACATCAAATGCATTACCGGAAAGTATCGTTACCTTTTCATTTCATTTTTAATTAAAATTAAAATTCTTCAAGTCATGTCAACTGCACTCATTCATTGCTCATGTCACTTTAGATGTCAGCAATAACGAGTGTGAATCCATCTTTCGTGAATGTGAACCTCAAGCACCGTTCACGTCACTTCCAAGCTTTCCGTTCAAATTTGTACTCTGGTCAAATTAAGTAGCTCAACATGCCTCGCGTTAAGTTTATTGTGCTTTCAGGTTTTTTTTTCGGTGTTTGGGTGCTTCCATCTCTTGGGTGTTATTGCAATTGCTGGTGAAGAGTGCTGAGTGCTGAGTGAAGAAAAAAAAATATGTGTCGACAAAAATTAAAATGAACCAACCGAAATGTAGTTCAGTAGAACAAAATTGTTAACAAATTAAAATAAACAAGTTGTTCTGAACTGCGGTATGCACCGCACTAAAACGTTTGGCGATTTTATGTTATGTTGGCGAGTTCCACAATTACAAGAGCCTTTATGGAGGCTCTTAAGTAAAATAAAACTACAACAACAAAATCGAGTCAAAAATTTTAAAAACTGCATTTATTGCAAATCTTGTTAGCTTGGATAACAAATTGACAGATTAACATAAACATCGACTTCTTGTTAACAAGAGAAAGCTAGGAAACGAGGAATTTTGTTAAGTTTTGTTGAAACAAGAAAATAAAATAATAACAACAACAACAATAAATGTTAAACAAATGTTAATGATATTAAATAAAGTAAATTATGAGTTTTTGTTTTTATATTCATTTATATTTTTATCGCACGTGCAAAATAAATTGACAAAATTAACCGCCACCACACAAAATTCTTCCAAAAATGAGCACAAGATTTGCATATTGAACTGAACTTAGAGTGACAAACTTTTCTGTTTTCTGTTTTAAAGAAAAAAAACTCTAGAATAGTTAGAGACATGTTAGATCAGTAAACATAAAATAGGTAACAAAAATCGTTGACACAAATTTTAGACAACGGACGACACAAAAATTTCCATAAATTTTAATTTCATGACAACTACAACTAAACGGCACGAACTGCCCGAATGAAGGTTGTAAAAATTGAGAATATTCTTAAGAGACTGCAAATGCTACCAGTACTGACATCTGCAGCTCCATTACGCCTCATTGCAGTTCATCAAAATTATTTGAGATTTTTCCAAAAAAAAAATACTATTTTTTAGTTACAAAAACATTAACGGCTAGACGTGCGCTACATTATCTATATATGCAGCAATAAGTTATTGTGGTGATGGATAGCATAGATACTATGTAGTAAATTAGCAACTTAGTTAGCAAGAAAGCCAAAGGTGAAAGACAGTCAAATAATAAAGAAATTCTATTAGAAACTTTCTAATAATTAATTCCAAACCTATTTAAAAATATAATTAAATTGTAATATTAGCTATACGTACTTTAACATTTTTTTTTTATTTTTATTATTGTAAACACAAACTGCTGAAGTTAATTCTTCTTCGAAAAGTTAAATAAAAGGAAAGAAATGAAAATAAACAGAATATTTTCCCCAAATGGAGCATATTCAGTCCATTGTGCTTACAACTGATCCTTACCGAATAGAAGAAACTCAATCCTAAGCATGAAATCAAATAGAATCCTTAGAATAGATATTAAAAGGGTATTTTTGCTTATCAAACTATGTTAGACCTTTTGTGCTAGCAACTCACCCTAATCGAAGAGAACTCTCTTAATCTTTAGAATAAAAACAAAAATGTCTATCATTCGAAAAAAGAATAGAAACAGAAACTATCAGCGATATTTTCTCCTATCGATTCATGATAGTTGTTTTATGCTAATAACACAACTTACCGAACAGAAGAAACATAATCCTTAGAATAAAAACAATAAATAGAAATAAACAGAATAGAATTTCTCTCAAAAGACTACGTTAGATCTTTTTGCTAGCAACTAATCGTAGCCGAACAGAAAACAGTCAATCGTTAAAATTAGTATGAAAATGTTTTCTATGAAGGAATTCCTAAATTTGGTTGGGAACAGAGATTCCCGGCTTAATATTCTGCTCCTACCCCAGATCAAATCCTG